CTCACTTCCTCTTTCCCCCAAGCATTACGTAGTTTGGCAGGGGAATGCCATGGGATGGACATAGGCACCCTGGCTCCCAATGTTTCTACAGCTCCTTTGTGCCTGGGATGCTACCATGGTGGGGAGAGTGGCACGCAATCTGAACCATCGAAGATCTTCAGGTGGATTGTAATCAGTTCATAATACAACTGAGCATTGCGAGCTGGACAAATCCATATAATACGAATTTCAGCAACATCACTAAAGAGATGCTGGTCCCCATGGCAAGAATATTGTCTAGACCATCTCTTCCTACAGCCTTAACAGACGCAACCTTTTTAAAAGGTCTGTGGCTCACTGGTATCCTTAGATAAGTGGCTGGTATAGGGAGGACTGATTATCAGGTGCTTAGTTTGGACTGCATGGAGCTCGCCAAACAGAGTCGAGAGAAAGCAGAGCAACACACCCAAAGGATGAAAAATGAAGGGAAAAGAATGAAATAAGGGGAAAAAACATTTCAAAGCAACATCAATACGGAGTGGGGGTCTTCCACTGAGATTTGATTGCCTTCAAATGGAATTGGCTACGAACAGTCCAAGAGAAAACCTCAATATGCTGTAATAAATTTTTGAGGAGATGGATGGCTCCAGTGCAAGTTATTGCAGAGAGAAGGGAGTTGCTAATGATTTGCTGAAATCACTGCAGCCTGGGCAGCTGCACCAGAGGGCTGAGAGAGATAGCAGCAGCAGCAACCGGAATAACAACAGCAGCAACAACAAATAAAATGAGGCTTCACCTATACTTGAGAATTTAGAAATGGAACAAGTTTCAGAATTTGGAAGGGAAATAAATTCAGATTCATTCCAGAGAGGAAACAGAAGAAAGAAATGCATTTAGGGGAAAATATTTCTTGCTGCAGTTTTTCCCACAGTATTCCTTCACCTGAGGAAAAAAATAAATCAATTTTCCTTGTTCCCTTTCACCCTGATCCAGCTAAGGGCTCAACGTGAGCAGAATCAGGTTTCCGTGTGAGCATCTGTAGCTGCCGGCGGAATTTGCGTAGACCGAAGCCACTGTACACCACACACACACAATCCCCATAGCGTTTCCCAGAGGACTGGATTTGTGCATGCATTAGCTGTGTAAAAGAAGCTGGAATTACACTGATCAGGTGCTTTGAAGAGGGGAAACAGGGGCTGGATTCAGTTCCCCCACTCCTTCCCTTCCAGCAAACAGCTCGCAAGCATGATTCTGCTTTCTGTTAGAGTGCTAAGCAGTGGCTCCTGCCTGCCAGCATGAATGGCCTGAAGTTTTCGTCTTCTGCAAACATACATGCGGGTGATAGTGCAGGTGCACAACATATATTTAAAGCACATCCAATGCACAAGAATCCTGGGAAATGTCATTTGTTAAGGGTATTGGGAATTGTAGGTCTATAAGAAAATTACAGTTCCCAGGATTTCTTTGGATGCACTTTAAATGTATGGTGTGGAACTGTCCTTACACCTGTAAACTCATTTTGGGAAGGATGTTGACCCCAGGATAAAAATGTTATTGGATTATACTGGTGCTGCTGTTGTTGTGCTGCTACCTTAAGTTTTCTAGGTCCTGCACAGAGTTTAAGATTTCAACAAAGTCCCTGCTCATAAGCTGTGATGCGATGCAAAAGGAAATAAGGGATGGTGAGAGAAGAGAAGCATGAATTTGTCATATACCGTACTTTTCTGTGTGATATGATAGCCATGTTCAAATATATAAAAGGATGTCACATAGAGGAGGGAGAAAGGTTGTTTTCTGCTGCTCCAGAGAAGCGGACACGGAGCAATGGATCCAAACTACAAGAAAGAAGATTCCACCTAAACATTAGGAAGAACTTCCTGACAGTAAGAGCTGTTCGACAGTGGAATTTGCTGCCAAGGAGTGTGGTGGAGTCTCCTTCTTTGGAGGTCTTTAAGCAGAGGCTTGACAACCATATGTCAGGAGTGCTCTGATGGTGTTTCCTGCTTGGCAGGGGGTTGGACTCGATGGCCCTTGTGGTCTCTTCCAACTCTATGATTCTATGATTCTATGTGTCTAAGACAAGGATTTTTTACTCTAAATTAATGTTAAAAAACGGGGGTTGTCTTATACACCGATAGTGCATAGGGGTAACTGGTGATTGGTTGCAGCTTGTCAGCAGTGATTTGGTGGGTGATTGGTGGCTGTGGAAAGTGCTGCTTTGGATTGGCTGCTGCTGCATTAATTGGGTGGGTGATTGGTTGCTGCAGCAATGGCTGCTGTGGATTGGCTGCCGCTGTGACAATTGGGCATGCAATTGCTGGCTGCTGTTGGCGAGCAGGTAGATGCTTGTTTCCTTTTGCGATGGGATCGATTGTCAGCATTTGTCTGTCGGGTTAGTGATTTACTGCAGTTCCCCTCAACAAGCTTGGTCATCCCCCCCCGAAAAGCTCCACAACTCTGGGCAATCCTCCCCCCAAAAAAGCTCAATGACTTTGTCCATCTCCTCCCATTTCCTTAAATTTGAGTCCCCCAAAATAGGGGACGTTTTATACACGGAAAAATACGGTAGTTTCATCAATGTTCCATGACCAGGTGGCCACAAAGAGGGACACTTCCAGGAGGGTAAGAGCCAAAGAACTTGTGGTCACAGCCTGGATGATGGAGTGGACCATGTTATCTCACTTCTCAGTTAGGTACAGCCAGGTAGGGTGGCTATTAATAGTTTTGGGAGATGAACCACCAAATAGTAGTTAGCCCCAGCTGATCCAACAGAGCCAATATGGAGGCCCCGGTTCTTTCTGCCAGTCTCCAGTCTTCAGGGAGGACACATCTACCTTGTATGCAGGAGGACACAGACTCAATTCTTGGCATCTCCAGGTAGTGGTGGGAGATGCTTCCTGCCTGAAACCCTGGAGAGCTGTTTCTCCACCCCAATACCCATAGGTCTTTTAATGTTTCTGTCCCCTGCATAATCCTTTCTCCACCCTTTTAGACTCCCTTTACACAATTTCCCAACAAACAGATATCCATGTCACTCGCAATAAGAATATTCTTTTGCAAAATCTGAACGATGTTGCAAATGGCATTAATTCAGGGCTGAAAAATCAAGGAGATGCAGTGCATTCTTAATCTGTGTGCCTGATAGGAAGGGAGATGTGCGCTACTCCTCAAAAATTTCAAAGTATGAGCTGTTTCTGACAGTGCGATTACGATCTGTGTCAGGAAGAGCAATTCAGTCTGCATTCCTAATCTCACTTACTGGCGGCAACCTTCATTGTAAAGAGTAAACATGCATTGGATTGAACTGTGTGTCATCCTCAGACACTCTGGAAAACAATAAGAACCTAATAATTGTCTTGGTAGATCAGACTAAGGTCTATCTAATCCAGCATTCTGCCTACAACAGAGGCCATCCACATGCCCTGGCACCCACAGACCTGGGTATGCATGAGAAAATAAATGGATCAAAGCTACTCACTAAGTTCTATGCATAACTCACCATCACGGACTTTGATGCCATGCTATTTATTCCTTACACTACTTAGCTCCGGAAGCCTAGACACAAACCATTTAGAAACATTTTGCACATGCCTCCCCCATTCTTTCTTCCCATTTTCATAGCTGCTCTTATCACGCTCCAGAAGGTCAGTGAATAATTCGGCAATGCAGCTCATTTGCAACTCATCACAAGGAGAAGATGTATTTAGCAGACCCATTCGTGCATAATCACGGTCCATTCCTAGAAAGCTACTTCTGAACTATCCTGCTGTTCGCACGGGCCATATACCAAACTCATTCCCTGAATTGCTGAACCAAAACAGCATCACCCACATGGAAGCTGGAGGTATCAAAATGTTTGGTGGCACTACTTTGCAGAAGTACAAGACCACTTTAGGAAAAAACATAATACGTCCTCCTCAAACAGCTCAGTATAGGTGTGAACTGTATAGGGCTGAGGTGTCTTCAGTCCCGCCCCCATGTCTGTTGGGGCAGGGCTGAGCCCCCCAATCTTGAGGGGGCAGAGGAGGCTGAGCCCTTCCTTGCCCCCTCCTACCTTTGTCCCCTGTCCTCTGCCACCTTGGGAGATGCCATGCGGCCTGGAGCAACTTGGATAACTTAAAGGCTAAAACTAGCTAATCTAAGCTTCCCTTTAAGATGCAAAGGAAGGGGAAATGTGAGGGGGGGATAATATCTGCTAAATATATCCTCTCCTAGAATCTATCACATCTCAACATAAAGCCCAGTATTCAATGCCTGGCTTCTCCTGTTGAAGGGTTTCAAATATAGCAGGGCTGGGGTGAGTTTTGTAATAAAAATTTAAGGTCTTATATATATAATAAATGCTCATAAATGTACCAATGTCTGCAGCAGCACAGGAAGACCTTCCTGAAACCATTTTGACTCCCTGAAACGATTTTGACTCCCAAACTGACCAAATGTTTTCTCTGCAAGGAAGGAGAGGGTAAAGGAACTTTCCCATTGTTTCAGGAAGTGGGTAATCGTAATCACCATTTCAAAGGAATGGGCAGACTACCAGGAAAGGCAATCAGATAAGGCATTATCACAAAACCTGCCAGACAGGAAAAACAACAACACTCAAATTTCTGTTGTAGACCGCCTTTTCTGTGATGTAGGTATGATGTTTGTGGGGGGTGGTCTTGGGTTACACCCCTTCTGTGATGTATGTATGATGTATGGAGGGGTGGTCTTGAGCTCCAGGGCAGGGAATTTAAAATGTCTATATAAGGGCAGGCACACCTTTGTTCGGGGTCTTCCTCCTTTCCTGTGTGTGAGGGGAGCACCCTGTTGCAACAGATCAATAAAGATCAGGCTTACTAGCTGCTTTGCTTCTCAATATTCTCTGGTTGGCCTCTTTTATTTTCTCCTACCAATAGGGAACCCACGTAAGGACTTTATACGGGCTCTTGGATACCCCATGAGGGGAAAAGGGCAGATTTTGTTTACAACAGTTTCTGCTTGAGAGCTTGGAGAGCTACTGCCTGGATTGACATGTTGGGCTAGGATGACTGTAGCTCAGTGGTAAAGCATCTGCCTTGCATGCAGAAGGACCAAGGTTCAATCCTCTGCATCTCCAGGTAGGGCTGCAAATGTCCCCTGCCTGAAACACCGGAGAGCTGCTGCAAGTCAGAGTAGCACTACTGAGCTAGATGGTCTGACTCAATAGAAGGCAGCTTCCAATGTAGATGAAACAACTTTAGATGTTTGGAGGCACAACAGTGGATGCCGTCCATTTCCCCCCCTGTTCATTCATGGGAGATTCAAGACCTTAGTTCTTGAATGGTTCAATTTGGGAAATGAGAATTATGCCACATAATTTGACATGAGATGGTGGGTGGATAATCCTACAGGGACATTGAGCTTGACGTCTTTTGATAAGTGCAAACTCTTCAAAGGTCCGTCTGCATAGCCCCTTCCCCCGCCAAGAGTCAGCTGTGCTGCGCTTGGAGGTCCTGAAGCTACAAGGAACATAGGAAATTGACGTGAATGCCTTTGACACCCTCCTCTGCTAAAGTACAAAATATTCTTAAGACTTGCCAAGTTCCCATCTGTAGTTCTGAAAAATATAGGAGTCGCTCCCTCTTGTCTCTTTGAGTTGGTGGTTTTTCAAGGCTTTGCTGTTCCTGCTCATCTCCTCTTGCAAATATTAACTTATTCTAATCAAGTGGATCTTATCCTGATGACTCACCAAGAAATCTTCCCACTCTTGATCTGCTTCCTCGCTTACTGTATTTATTTATAAATGCGTGGAGTGACTGCTTTTTGAATATAGCCCTTGGGGCGTCGTCGTTCTTTGATGACCTCTCCCCTTCGCCTCAGCCGTGAAGTGAGAATCTCTGCTGTTCAGCTTCATATGTAAAGCTTATCATTTCATCAAGTGCTTGTGTGATGGGTTATGGATAAGGTAGAAAAAATTATTAAAAGAACTTACAAAGCAATGCAACAATTACGATTGTGCATACAGGCATTTCAGTTTGTAGAGATGAATTTACAGATCTCTTCTTGCATCCCCCTCTAAATTAATTGGGGTCGAAATTCCCAGGCTGGTGAAAGCATTAGAGGGAGAAGTATCTCAGCCAACCATAAGAAATAACCAAAAGCAGCAGCAGCAGCAGCAGCAGAGACAGAGTTAAAAACATTGCCCGCAAAGTGCACCTCCTGCACTCCTATCAGAGGGCCTTGAAACCGAAGAAGCATTTTCCTTTTTACCTCTCTGCCACTGTTGGATGTGCAGATGGTGGATGGCCCACTGCGAGCATGAAATTAGCTATTTTGAGGGCTATTATGAACTGTGGAGTTTCTCAGTGGCTCAGCTCAGAGTTCTGCAGCACAGGTGTCCCTGTAATTGTAATACACTTTGAAAATTAATAGCATTCAGCCACCCAGAGTTTCATACTGCTCCTCCATGGTGTACCCAGTTTACCATTAAACTGCAATATCTAACTCATCAGAATATTTGCTGGCTTCACATCGACTGAAGATTTTTTGTTATTATTATTTCCTACGGTGCCTTTTTTGGCTTCCTTGTTAACCAAGAGGAGTTCCTCCTTTCACTTTGTCTTTACACATCTCAAAGCTGCAGGGACAGAATTGCTTTTTATAAAGCATATGAACAGCAATATTGGGAGGGTGGAAGGAAAGACCTGGAAGCTGAATCTTAGGCCAGTTTTCCCTCTCATGGTGAAGTTGATTCTTCCAAGTTGGCACGCTAGAAAAGCCAGGAACTTTCTGCAAAAGCTGTTGACACTTCCATTTTATTTTGGAAGGGGTTGTGGCATATACTCAGAACCAGGTATTTTTGTTCAAGTTGAGCAACAGATTTAAAAAAGAAAGGAAAGACACAACTTCAAACATTTTCCCTGTCATATAATTACAGTGTTAAAGAAACAAGCCAAATAATAAAATGATAAGCCCATCTTGGAAGCCAAGAGCCTCCCACAAGGTCTGCTATTGCTCTCTTAGCACGACTTAGATTTATACAACAACAAGAAGAAAAAGATAAGCCCATAATGAGGCTGAAATGAATGGGAGTTTTGTTATCAACTCTACAGGGAGCAGGGGCAGGGACTATATATTTATCTAGGGGCAGAGCCCATATATTTATCTCTGTGTGCATCTGTATTTACCCCAGGGATGAGCAAACCAGTTTAAGTTAAATGCACAATGACCTGATCCTTTGAACAAACAAAAAGCCAAACTGAGCCCCAAATTTGAGGTTCAGAAATCTTATAAGCATCCCCTCCTGCTTGTCTTCCTCTCTGTTGTTGCTGCTGCTTCTTACTTTGGTGTGTTGAAGGCAAGAATGTAAAGGTCTGTAATACCAGGTCATCACTCATCCATGCTTTGCTTGTGGAGAAAGATGCTGAACTGGTGTTCATCACCAAGACCTGGGGGAATCAGCTGGATGGTCTATATATATATATATGGACCTGGGCACTTGTTCAACACCAGTTTAGGATGGTGGACGCAGGGGTGAGGAGTTCCTGTCATCCATAGGGATTTGATCTCCCTTGCTAGGAGACAAAGGTGCTTGGGATCCAGATCAGAGGGTTTATACCTGGCCTTCAGTCAAGAAGCAAGGTGGGGATTCTGTTGAATATGGTTCAAAAGTGTCCAAGAGAGGTGGTCTCTGGGGAAGTGTTAGAAAGCTGGGGTGGTGATAGTCCTGGAGGATTTCAATACAGTGGTACCTCAGGTTAAGTACTGAATTCATTCCGGAGCTCCGTACTTAACCTGAAACTGTTCTTAACCTGAAGCACCACTTTAGCTAATGGGGCCTCCTGCTGCTGCCGCGCCACCGGAGCACAATTTCTGTTCTCATCCTGAAGCAAAGTTCTTAACCTGAAGCACTATTTCTAGGTTAGCAGAGTTTGTAACCTGAAGCGTATGTAACCTGAAGCGTATGTAACCCGAGGTACCACTGTATTCATGCTTAGGCCACCTTGGTAGAATCAACTTGGTAGAATCAACTGAGGACTTCCTTGCCACCTCAACAGACATGGGGCTGTCCTCATGAGGCAGATCCCCAATCTCTGTTTGTCTTTTAATTGGATACCTTGTTGATGGATCTGTCGGTAGGGCAGTTATTACACCAGTGTCATGGAGAGGGTCATAACTCAGTGGGAGAGCATCTGCTTTGCATGCAGAAGGTCTAAGTACAATCGTTGGCATCTCCAGGTAGGGATGGGAAGATATCAAACCCTGAAGAGCCCCTGAAAGTCAGTGAGGACAGTACTGTGCTAGATGAACCAGTGGTCTGACTTGATTTAAAGCAGCCTCATGGGTTGCTATGTTCATTTCCTGGGAAGATTTGATCTGATAGTAGGATAATCTCCTTCAGGGATTGGACCAGTTAAGAAGGTGTGCACCCAGAGATTTAAGGAAATCATTTACAGAGTGAATTCTCTGGAGAAGTTTCCAGCTAGCCCCCAGTTGAGACCCTAGACCAGGTGAAGCTGAGGTCCAGGGCATGTGCAAAAGATGGTGTATTTGTAGGGACTCGGGCAGAGGTGCAGATAGCCAGAGAAAGCTGCAGTTTGGGTTGCATGGCCCAATGCAACCCATGGCTATCAACAGGCAAGGCATCAGGCAGGAAGGAGAGGCAGGCAATGCAGGAAATCTGTACAAAGAGGCTGAGACCTACCTGATTGACCGCTGTATCATTCCAAGAGGAAGTAGTAGGCACAATGCCACTGCTCTCATTCCTGCCTGATTCCCCCTCTGTGGAATCAATGCTGTTGGGCAGAGGCACCAACCTTGTGGGGTGCTGGTGCTGTTTCACCAGTCTCCTCAATTTACAAAGTTAGGCTGGCCAGTCTTCAGAGCTTAACCTGTCAGGCTGTTTGGGGCACAACCATGCCCCCAAACTTGCATAGCGCCATCACACAGGACCTGATATTCCCACTTCCCAGCTTTGAAATGAAGGGATCCAATCCTGAGGGGTGCTGGTCACTGCCCCTTTGCAAGCATCTTGCTTCCTTTGCATGCAGGGAAGTAACTTGCAAAGGAGAGGCCCCACACAGGATAGATCATGTAGCTCACCAGGTGGTAAGCAGGAGGATACAATCCTGCTCAGTGCTCCTCCCCAAAGTCTCATGTTATGCTATGTTATGCTAAAATGGGGTTTTCAAAAAGCCTTAGCCCTGTCCAGATACGTTCTTTGGAACAGACCCAGGGTGGAATAAGGAGTCCGTGCAGATGGGTGGTCCCTGATCTGCCTCAACCTGGGTACACAAATTGGACCTCTGGAATGACTCTCTGTGCATCCCCCCCCCCAGTCACTGGCTGGCAGATGTAGGGGAATAAACAGAAACTGAATGAGACAGAGGTACTGTGGTTCGATTGTTCCCCATTCCCAGAAATAGGAAGGTGGCCTGATCTAAGTAGGGTTGCACTTCATCTGAAAGAGCAGGTGTATAGTCTGGTGAAAGTCCTGGAGGCCCAGGTGGCATCAGGAGCATGGAGTGTCATTTTCTAGCTCTGGCTGATTCACCAACTATCGTCGTTCCTGGACAGTAATCCATGCAATAGTAACCTCCCGACTGGATTACTGTAACTCACTCAACATGGGGCTGCCCTTGAGGATGAGCCGTAGACTTCAGATTACTAGCCCCATGCGCAGCATTTTGCTAAAGCTGTGAAATGCACTTCTGAATAGCAACTAAGAGTCACAGTCCTTGGTGATGTTGTGGAGAGTCGTGGAGCTGGCTGAGGACAGCTCTGCTACCCAGCCAAATTTTCTGCTGAATAATTTGGAAAGTTAAGGCAGCTCCCTGACCTTGAATAGACGCCCAGGGTACAAGCAGCCTTTGGGCTTCTGTGTTTTGTTTTTTAAGGTTAGTATTATTATTATTCTGCTGAATAAGGTTCTTGATTTCAGCTGCTTCTAATGCTAAAAGGCCAGTATTTCCCTCAGTGGGGGCGAAAAAGCTTGTGCCCTTCAACCTAAGTCATGAATCTAAGCCATTTCATGTCTTTTTACATTTTGCATTCTGTATGCTATTACAGCTGCCAGCCACTTCAAGAGATTTTAAATGGTGAATAAATGCAAATAATGATAATAATACATTTTCAGCTAATCCTTAAATGGATTTTAAGAAATGTTAAAAACCAACTTTCAGCAGGAGAGATTAATTAATTAATTAATTAATTACTAATTTAAATATCTATTAATCCAGTCTTCTTCTTCTTCTTCTTCTTCTTCTTCACTTTTCATCCGCCAAAAAATATCTACTAATTCAGACATTTTCTACATATTACATTTTCTACTCATCCTTCACTGTAAGATGCTACGTCAGGTCACATCGTTAAAAGATAATACAACAAAACAAAACAAAACAAAACAAACCCATCCCAAAATACCATACAATATATACACATCAACAAACGAGATGGGGGACACTGACAATGATAATCAATTGTCAAATTGCCAAAGACCAAGGATAAGAGGTGCATCTTCAATGACTGGTTGGTTTGTTGGTTCTCGTTAGTATCGTGTATTTTGTGCTTTTATATTGTATTTTTATGTTGTGAACCACCCTGAGATCTGTGGATGAAGCACGGTATGCCAGTAATACTAATATTAATAATACTGAGATGGTGCATGATGCAGCCCTCTAGGGAGGGAGCTTTGTCATTTGGGGGCAGAGAAGGTCTTCTTGTGGGTCTTCTGCCCTTGCATATCCGAGGGAAATGGAACCATAAGAAGAGCCTGTTCCACTAGCAGCTGGAAAGAAGGAACAGGTGGGGCGTTGTTGCTCCCCTGACTTCCCAACACAGTGGGCCTTGCAATAAGTGCCAGAGACCTTCTAGGCCATGAGAGCAATGTCGTCCCGCCTGTGCCATCTCACCATCTGCTACAGCCTGAAGGTAGATGAGGCATCACTTGGGACATAGTTGATCTCTGTGTGGTCTTTTAAGCCTTGTGGTGCATGCTCTAGTTATCTCTCGCTTGGACTACTGCAATGCACTCTGTGTGGGGTTACCTTTAAAGGTGACCTGGAAACTACAATTAATCCAGAATGCGGCAGTTAGACTGGTGACAGGGAGCAGCCACCAAGACCATATAACACCGCTCCTGAAAGGCCTACATTGGCTCTCCCACCTGATGTCTAGGAAATAAACAACTATCTGACTTTTAGATGACATCTGAAGGCAGCCCTGTTTAGGGAAGTTTTTAATGTTTGATGTTTCAATATGTTTTCATTTATTGGAAATATAACTAACTCACTAACTAACTAACTAACTAACTAACTAACTAACTAACTAAGTGAAATACATTGGAACTTCCAAAGGCCCACCTGGAAATTTTCTGCTTAAGAGATAATAGGATATTTTATGACTATTCAGTGAATATTTCCAAGTACCTTATGTTGGTATTTGACATCCAATAATGTTTAAAACTGATATGTCATTTTTCAACTGGGCTGTATTTCGTAGCTGATATGCAATAGTATTGGTATTTGACAACATACAGATGTGTTTTTGATAGCTAACTGTTCGTGAGATTTTGTATTTGATGTTTTATTGTGTTTTTAATATCCTGTTGGAAGCCTCCCAGAGTGGCTGGGGTGGCCCGGCCTAATGGGCAAGGTATACCGGTAAGTAATAAGTTGTTGTTGTTGTCTCAGAGCCTTGTGCTTCTCCAGAACTATGGACCAGCCCTGCCCCTCTGTCTCTCCCTGCATATACAGTGGTACCTCAGGTTAAGTACTTAATTCATTCCGGAGGTCCGTTCTTAACCTGAAACTGTTCTTAACCTGAAGCACCACTTTAGCTAATGGGGCCTCCTGCTTCTGCCGCGCTGCTGGAGCACGATTTCTGTTCTCATCCTGAAGCAAAGTTCTTAACCTGAGGTACTATTTCTGGGTTAGCGGAGTCTGTAACCTGAAGTGTATGTAACCTGAAGCGTATGTAACCCGAGGTACCACTGTACACTGTGGGACTGTACCCCCTCACTTACAAAACAGCCTGCTGACTGGAAGGAGGCAAATCCAGGGGAGAGACTCACCCAGAGAGACAGCGGGCAGCCTCCTCTGTGGATAGATGCTTTGTGCTCACCGGTGCAAAATAAATTAACAAATTAATCATGTCTCAGGAAACAGCGTGGGGATTTATGACATCACGGGAATACAGCATATATTTCCACATGGAAATTAATAATGGTATATTACATAAGCATGCACCAAGCAGTAGATTTTCCCAGGCAGTCAATTAATCAGGCCTTTAAAAAAAAAAGTGGCTCTGACTGAAGATCCTCTTGCTGACCACATTTAAAACAGAGAAACTTTAATAGACCTCCTATAAATTACTAATAGTTCCAGCTTCCTTTTGGAGCAGGAGCTAGAGGCCGGGGTTACTAATACAGACAGAGGCAGATGGGGAAAGGAGGTTGAGGGCTATCAGGATAGTTAACTTAAAGAACCCCCCCCCCCAGAACATCTTCTTCATAATTAATAAATGAAAAATGTTGCTGCAGCTAATCAATAAAGTTGTTAGAGGGAATTGATCGGATGAGGAAACTCTTTTTGTGGGTACAATTTTTCACCTCTTTGGAACAAAAGACTCCCTCGGGTGCTATCAAACGGATAGACGTTTAGGCGTCTGACCCAAACAGGGATAAAAATAGAATGTCAATTAATTAAAAACAGGCTGTGGGGTGGCGGTGGAATATCTCCGCTTTGATTTCTGGGGCAGCGAAGATTCAGGCACGGAGAGAGTTAAAAATGCTGCTCTCAGGATTTAGCAGCCTAAAAGGGGGTGGCAAGCTCCAGAGCAGATTCCCCCATCGCTGACGCCTAACTGTGGTTTCCTCCCCCCCTTTCTTTCATCAAGTTCTGATAGACAAAAGACCCATCCTGGTGGAGCTTTTTCCTTGCACCCTGCGTGGCGCTGCAGTGCACAGCCAAGAATGTGGGAAGGGCTTGTGGAAACGGCAAGTACCATTTCCTGCAATGCTCATTACAAAAAGCCATGCACAGCTTCTGGTTGGTTCCTGCCAGCTACGTGGGGTGGCAGGAATTAAAATGCGCAGGAGCACTCAATGAGCATCAATCCAATTTCTGCGTTCGGCAGAATCAAGTGTGCACCTGTTGAGACCTATCCGGAGGGTGGGCAATGATAGAGCGGGACTTTTCTGTGGTAGCTCCCGGGTGATGGAATGCTCTCCACAGGAAAG